TGATGATTCTTATAGGTAATGGAATCTGAATCTGTCGGATATACGCTGGTGACGGTACGGGCTGAAGGTGGAGACGCTGGAGAGACGGTCACCTACAAGTTGTTAGAAAATGGGACCCACAACGACTATGTCACCCTTGATGAAGCGAAAGGTCAGCTTTCTTGGCTTTCACCTTCAGGGTACGTCCTGACGTTGGGGAGAGTTTTCGCGAGACACAACTCTCCTCCCCCCCTCCATCCAAATTTTCTGCCTCCTGATATACGATCTCCTTTCACAATCGATCATTACTAAACTTACTATTAGCTTACCTTTGTTCCCGCTGTTGAGCGGAAGGGATGGGGTTGAAGTGCGCGCGGAACGAGAAAAATAAGCAATCGGAAAAAATCTGAGTTTTAAATACGACCTCCTTCCTTCCTTTAAGTGGTCAAATACCACACCATTAGGGATCCTCAAGATGCGAATGGTTCTGTTTGCAATCTTGGAGGTGTCTAAAGGGTCACTTCCAATAAGATTTTACTGTGGTGCAGTGGCCTATTTGGGTTGCGCGATGCATCGTGATAGATCAGCTAGCACGAGAGATCCATAAGTTTTACCTTTCTGGTGGTTTTCCGGGTACTTTTTATTGGTTCTAGTGAAATACGTGAATACGCTGTACTCTGTACGAGATTCCAGAGATTAAGCCGGTTCACTTCAAAGGGTTTGCGCTGCTAACGGGTCATCACACTGAACGTTTGGAGGGGGTCGACCCACCGCTTGCTCCTTCCTCTTTGGTCCCTCTCTTCCCTTTAAGGACGTGAAGAGGAGGGGAGCGCCAATAAGGAAGGCACGAACGGTTGGTCTGAGCCCGCCCCTTGCGACAAGCGGAGACTGTGGCTTTGTACGTTTCGGCAGAAAATAGCGCACTCACGCTCGGAAAGCTGCCATCGCTTTTTCTGGGATCCATTCTGAATTAGGTGCCTTCAATGCTGGATCTGTTCCCTTTATTGGTGGCTGAAGAATTATTTGGATTACTGCAAAGAGATTTCATTTGTAGGTGTCCTCAAATTGGCCAAGGGACTTGATTACGAGAAGGAGAAAGCTGCTCACGTTGACCATTGTTGCAACTGATTCTGGTTCTCCGCCTCTGTCATCCGAAGCCGTCGTTACGATACAGGTGATCTCGGAACTTTTGGTCTTCAACTTTTGTTACAGTACTTAATTACGACCTTTCTTCTGGTGTTGAGATTATTCTAACTTTACTTTTTATGTGGATTTGTCAGAGTTTAAAACATGCCCTCGAAAGTTCGTTCTGTGTTTTTGAAGCATTATTGATGCGGCTAGCATGGCAAGGATTCTAGTGAGAGCATAGTCCACGCGGATCACGTGGGTGGAAACACCAATGCATTCATGATATCTCCCTCATCAAAGAGCCTCTCGTTTTTTCCCTGTCTCACAAAGAAGGCCCGCATCGCAATAGCCACGCAGACTCCGCCATAAGAGGAGTCGCGGGAATGTGTCTTTGAGTTCGAATTCAGCGGATACAGAAAATCGATGGAAATTTGTAAATATATTAGTAAGCGAAGTGAAGAAATCACATCGTATTTCGGTCTGGACAAAATGATAATATCCGGTGTTTCTCCGAAGGAAACTACAAGCCTTCATGATGAAAATTCTCGGCGAAATGAGGAGAGGACGGAAAGTTCTGAAGGTGAGGTACGGTTGGTTACAACCGTTAAAATGCAAAGATTATAGGATACGAGAAAAAGTTTTTGGTGCAGTTCGGCTTGGTGGGTGCTCCAAAATAATGTTTAGTGAGGCTTGTACCGACCACATTGTAAAGACCTGTGAATAACTGTGTACCGACAGTGCTTCTACTTGAGCCTTTTCCGCAGTTTTCACAAAAAGTTTACAGGACTTAACCAAAGTGATACCTTCTTTTCACATCAACAGCAAGGCTGCGGAATACACTCCCCTGCCCCACATCCGGCTCTCTTAGCCGAAAAGGGTGCTGTTTGACGACGGGGGGCATTTCGTACTACCACGGCTTCCCTTCTCCGGTTTACAAAACTCAACCCTTGTGAAGCTGGTGCAAGATCGTCTAGCCACCATCCTAAAACGTGTCAACTCGAGAAAAGGCTACCTAGATGGGTCGGCACATCTATGGAAAGCAGAATGCCCCCCGTCGACAAACTGCGCCGAACAGCACTTTCTACTATTTTCAAGTTTTCCCAAATTTTTCGTTTCTCTTACTTCGATTTCAGGGGTCAGTTCCCTGCTACACAGGGATATCCTTGTGTAGTGATTCTGTGTGATAATTAATCTAGCAATATGGCCCATTCCAGGTAAAAGCAGTTGATGCGGACAGTGAGCATTATGGCCGTGTGGCGTATTCTATCAAAGACGACTCAGGAATGTTTCATATTGACGATCAGGGTTTGATTACAGTGGCTGGACAGTTGGACAGAGAAACGGTTGGTATAGCAGAACACTTATTGTATTCTGGCCTACAACTTCTAATTTTCTTTTCAGAGGCCTTATCACCGTTTCGAGGTGGAAGCTCGCGATGGAGGTGAGCCAGCGCAGAAATCGGTGGTAACTGTTCTGATTGACGTCAACGACGTGAATGATAACTCTCCAGTATTTGCCGATTGTAACATGACGGCTGTAGTGCAGGTGCGTTTCTAATGAGTGGTGAAGCCCTTGAAAATCGTGAACTCGATGATAGGGGGCGGACGGTTATCTCCAACGCCATTGGTGCAAGGGCTGAGTGGGGTGTGGCGAAACGCCCTCTCACATCCCTTCCACAAATGACGCTGGCAACAACCGCCCGCTTCCAGAATAGCGCCCACTGTCTTCAAGGAGTAGAGATTTTTTTTATAATTTTCTCCAAACATTAGCATTTATTCCAGGAAGGTGTCATGCCTGGTCATACTCTTCTTTCGTTATCGATCAGCGATGCAGATGGGGCGAATTTCGGTG